TTATAGTAACATAGTTCAAATATAGTAAAAAGTGAGATATTAGAGATCAAAACAAGTAAAACTTTAAACGAAAAGTTCAACTGTATCATTCATACACTAATTTGACTTAATATTAATTAATATTAATCCTTCAAAGCACTAAGGCAGTCTACTGGAAAACCACTCAATCTCCTTTACATGATATTTAGAGCAAAGCAAGTCAATAGCATATATGTTACATTAGTGAGTTATACAACACTATATTCTTGTTTTTTACAACTCATTAGATGTGGATTTGGCTTGTTGACAAGCTGTCAGATTGTCTAACTCCTGGAGTTTCTTGCCTCATCCAACTTCCTCTCCGCAATGTTGCCTGTTCCCAGATCTCAGCTACTGCTTTGGTGAGTACAATGTTACTGTACAGATATGAATGATGCCCAAATCTACAAACATGAGATTCACATGACATAAATATATACATTTTTGCCACAATATGTCAGTGGCTTTTTTCATGAGATCCAGTTGTGACTTTGGGGGAAATGTTAAACAGGATTCTCCACCCAACCTGCAAAACCATTTTGAAGTGAATACTAAACAAACAAGGGCTGTGCTCACAAAGCTTTAATCAATGCTATTATTAATGGTTGACTGCTTTAGATTGGAAGAAAATCCAGCTGAGAAGACATTTCACACCTTAATCAGGTAGAAAAATAGCAATTGCAGCACTTATGGCTCTCCCTGCAAATATGTCACTGCTCATTTCGGAGCTTTTTATCCAGACAGACCATGGTGCCAGGCTTATTTTCATCAGTTAATAAAGCAATAGTACATTGGAGCCAATAACTAGATCATAATGACCACAATAATATTGACAGTAACACAGCGTGATATTATATTGTCAGATGTTTTGTACTAATTTCTTTTTAAACATCAACAGATGTTCCAATATCAGTGACCCCAAATAGACTCCCAGTTCATTTAGTACCATGAAGAGATAATCATGCATTTACAACAGCCAATCACAAATACTGTGAAACCAAAGTGATATTACAGCCCAGCAGCTTATATAATGTTTAATAATAAAAAATAATATTAATATTAGATCTAGATTCATATAGTTGTGTGTTTTATAAGTTGCACACCTGCTTACATTTACATACATAAAAATGTAAATATGCAGACAAATATTAAAGTTTTTTAAGGTGCCGTATCAATTGAAACCATTGAACCATGACCCTCGCAACCATTACCTAGTGGTCTCTGGAGCTGGCAATGACCTATGTTTTTCATACACATATTCAGCCAACAAGTTCTCAAAATTAAACAAAAAAAAAAAACATCGTTGGTCTATGCCTTCCCGAACGACACATAAATCATTTTGTCATCTGAAACCACTTTTGTTAAGGTTTGGTTGAAGCACATTCTTGTCATGAAATCGTTCAGTTGTCTTCTGTTTTACCTACAAATAACCTGGCTAAACTGCTGACTGGTTCATAAAACTCTCTGATTATGGTTTTAATGATCCTGCCTTATTCCAAGATCTCAGTTAACTTTAATGCTATTTCTGATGGGAATGATGGAAAAATCAGAAAATAGTTGTGATGACTCGTGCAGAATGTCACCACGACTGATATCAGTAACAAAACAAGATCATTTCTGTTCAGTTGCAAATCCTTTATTGTCATTTATCTGGAGATCATACCTTCGTCTTAGGATATCATTTTCTCATGAACATGACTTCCTGTAGTTAGCTTTTTTAAATAATAATAAGATTGTGAGAGGCCCATATATATTTAGATAGTTGAATTTTCTTGTGATACCAACTTTATCACAATACCTCTATAACAAATGACATTTCAAATTTTAACTGTAAAATTAAGTTTATTAACTATTTATCCAGCATCGTATGCTTTGTTCTCTTTTGAGACACATCCTTTTCTCCACGCTGAGAATGAGACTTCATCAAAGGAGACATAAATATATCTTGTGAAAATAGTTAAATTGTTAACAATGTTCTATGAAGTTTTATTTATTTTGCCCGTGGTGTCTTCATAATATTCTAATGATCTTTCATTGACTTTCCACTCTGTTGGAAGAACAGGCCCTTGATCCAGTGTCACACTGTGTAAATGCCACTGGATGATGATGCTCCCCTCGGTGCTGTCCTCATTTGTTGGCAGTAATAATACTAATGTATCAAATTTAACCAGATAATTATTTATTGATTAAAATGCTAACTAAGCATAGCAACTTTAAAATTAGCATGTCATTTGATTTGACAAACGCATACAGAACCAAGCTTGAATTCATATTCAAATCATTTATTTTGTGCGGTTTCCCTGATCACTGCCCTCCACCGGACTCATTCCAAGAAACTCCCTGTAGCACAAGCCCATGTTGTTTTACATTTTATTAATAGCAACATCAGAGTACTAAATGTACAGAGGACGAATCCAATGAGAATCGCATTTACAGTGCTTGCAAATACAGAGCTTAGTAGTACAAGAGTAACCAAATCAAAGTCACCTGGAAATCGAAACGTTTACCAATAACTACAAAAGGAAGAGATGTGGTTCATAAGACACAAAATAAAAGTTATACAACATTTAGCCGTCACAGAGACAGACTAGAGTCCCTTTTGTGGAGGTGTGTTGTGTGTGTATGTGTGTTTGTATATACTATAGTCTTATACAAAAGTTAACAGAGGTACTCATTGATATATTAAACACAAATATAAAAAGTTTAAGAGTCACAAAGTACAAACTCTTCATTTTTATGGCGACAACACAACTCGAGTCAGGTTCCTTCATGGTAGATATGGATTGTGATTGTAAGTCAGCTTCGATGAATAAAACCACTGTGTGCCCACATGTGAAAAGCCCTTCCCTCCCCCAAAAAGAAAGAAAAAACAAAAAACGTAACAACTTCCTCAACCCTAGAAATTGAAAGTGTACATATGATATTTATGCTTTTTTTTTTACACCTCTGTCCGCTCTGATATTGATCAACTCTCAGGGAACAAGCAATCATGTATCTATAATTTCCTTTCATCCCAAATTTCCTTGCTGTGCCACTCAATCCACAGCGTCGGAGGCCTCTGATGGAAATGAACGGCAGATTTGGGTCACGCAGCTAGTCTCTATTTAGCAGAGGGATTATGGGAGTATTGAGATGTTGCAAACTAAGTGTTGTTTTCATTTGTTCAAGTCTGACTGTATTGATAAGCACTGACAGTGACAGTGCCTTAGCTCTTGTACATAGAAAAGTAAAAACATGACCCGAGAGGAGAGTCGGAGCCCTCCACTTTAGATACAGTAAGCGCACAGTACGTGATTTTGTGAAACGATGAGGAGAAGTGGAGTGAGGAGCTACAGTTTAAAAAAAATGCATTAAGTAAGATACATATCAGTCCATGAAGATAAACTTTGACCTTTCCTCTGAGTATGACTTCATTGAAATATTTCCTTCCCCCCGCTGAGTCTCACATTACTGTTTGAGCGACATGCTGTCCACTTCTTTAAAAATCTAAATCGTCACCATCAGTGCCAGCTGTGAAATACGTTTTCTACACTAATCAGACAGGCCATGAGTCGATACATTGATTCCTCCTCTCGTGAATGCGTCCAATAATATGGGAAAAAACAAACCTTGGCTTTGGGGATGTTCAGCCGACACCTAATTCACATATACACACATACGTCAATAAGTTCCACTCTGTAGGTCTGACATGCAAACAGGAATCACAGTCCCTGCAAATGAGTGTGCGGCACATCCTTCATCTTGACAGGAGAACCTTTGCTGATTGATAGCTTGTTTGTGCTGAAGGGAGCATAGGTTTCGTGGGTTGCTGAAGAGACACGGGAGCCCCAAAATCATTCGTTGTGAAAAAGGCATGTCAAGTCTTTGGTGTCTGTTTAAGACTTTTCTAAGAGACCACCCCCCCCCATGTTCCCTCTGCCTTTGCCTGCACTGCTCTCAGATAATGTTTCCTGAATCAAATCTGACCAGCGGAGTGGAATCATTTTCCTCCCTCTTAGCTATAATACACCACACTCATCAACTGTCCTGAAATATAAACTGAAAAGGCAAGAAAGCAGTAAGGCAATTCCTTACATATCAGTTTGATTTCAGACAGAGGTAAAAGGAGGAAGGGTGTATGCCGATGTCTCCAGATATTCGTGCCTGTTATATGTGCTGCAAGTTACATTTTTGCCCGTGTCCTTCAGGAATGCAAAGCAAATTGCTTTTAGCTGGCAGCATGGTTTTAACGAGTTGCTAACAATGCAAACAAGCTTTTCAATGCTAACTGAAGTAAAGACCCAATAAACCCTTTACCCTACAGTATGAAACACAAAGAAATTCGAAAAGTCAAATATTCGCTTCATTAAACTATCTGATTTTGTAGGTTTCAAAGGATGCGAGATTAGTCGCACACTATCATTATTAGCTTGGTATAAAATTTCAACGATTTTCAGTAGAGTCACATTTTACAATTATCAGGGACAGTGTGTTAGTTGTACAGAAACTTGGCAACCACAAGAACCTTCTTGTGACGAAATAGCAATTCAAAGCATGGTCACAAGATCTCTAACAATCTTCAGTATGTAAGCTTTAAGGATCATTTGGGTTTCAACTTAGGTCTTATTTTCAAACTTTTGTCCATCATTGCTGTCAGTAATAACACTGTACTCAACCAAGTTCAATGTTGAGATCTTAGAACTCGACATTTCTAAAAAGAAGTCAGACAGGGTATACAAACAGTCAAATAAAGTCTTATAAAGAAACATCCAGGTTAACCAAAGTTATTTGGAAGAGAAAATAAAGCTGCTTAGTTCAGCTTACAGACTTTAAGGATTAACTTTTACCTTTCGTACACGTGGAAACTATGTGTGCACACAAATTTGCTCCTGTGTTTTAACCGGTTGGACTTAAATTCAGCTATGTTGCCGTGTTCCAGATCTCCACAATTTACTCAGTGAGTACAGTGTCATCATAACCAATAGGAATGTTTGCTGAAGAGTCGACAGCTATTCTAGTGTCTCTGTGAGGCTGAACTCGCTTTGAGCTAACATGCTACATTTTCATGTTTACCATGTCCACCATTTGAGTTTAGCGTGTTAGCATGCTAGTCAAGGGATCACCAAAGTCACAGGGATTCATCTTGTGGGCACAATGTATATCTCTACCAAATTTCTAATCCATCAAATAGATATATAGCAGTCTGTGGTGGACTGACTAACCAACAGCTAGCATTACTAGAAATAAGGCCTCTGTTGAAATACACCAAAATTATCCTTTAAAAACTTCAATAAATGAATCTAAGTGAATGGCTTCCCACATCATTGTTTGTGAGTCTGATCGTGGCATTTTTTAACTGGGTCAATTTGCATCGAAAGAGTACTTAACACACCATCTTCCTTTCATAATTCTTTCTTTAGACGTCTTCCCTGATTATTTCATATGCTCATAAATGCTAGTTTTGCAGTCATTAAAGTATGTGGCAAATTGTAAATTTTCTGGGGTGGTTGTAGTTTGTATATACAAATACAAAATGAGAAATTATGACAAATGAATTCAAACCAGTCTAGATCAAGTTTAGTTGGTTTCTTGGCAGCTACTGGTGGATCTACACCATTTTTTTTATTCATGTGATGAAACACTATATTAGAATTCATGTAGAAATGATGCTTAAGGACAGAGAGTTATTGGTTTCCCAGCCATCTATGAACACAGCAGAACCCAAGATATGATCACACTTCTTCGATCCACTCAGCACTCAGTTACTTTCAGGTCTTCCACCTGGAAATCACTCTCCAGTCTCTGAACTATTGCAGCGTCTACTGAAGTATTATACTGGTTAGCTAAAGATATAATACAAGTACTGCTTGAAAGTGCAGGTAGGAAGCTTGGCACAAGGTTAGTTTTGTGTTTTAAAAGAAATACCGTAGTTACACATGTAAACAAAGACACTATCCCCGACCTAGCTGAAACCTTCCCAAAAACTGGAGAGGTCTTGAAAAATAGAACACACCTGTACACAAATAGAAGCAAATATATAGAAAATACATTTACACGTGTATAATATACAGTAAGTTTTCGTAACCCTCTGACTGTTAAGATAACACTCTTCATTCAAAAAAATATATGTTATGTCAAAGAAGCAACTCCTCAGCCTGACACACATGTGAGGCTGAATTGGTATGGGTCATTCATGAGAGTGGTTTTCATGTTGTGAATGGGCAAAAGCAGGAGTTTTGCACCACAGTGTTTATCCCAGGCCATCTCGGCACCTCCTGAATGGCTCGCATTTACAGATACTGATCTTACTGGGACAACCTGTTTTCTTGAATGCTGTAAGGAAGTGAGTACAAGCCTAAACACCACCTAAGCGAGGTCCACCGTCGACACGCAATAAAACCCACCTTTTCAATCTGTACATATTGCTGTCCGCAGCCAAAAACGTTTACAATTACAGAATTGTATTTGTGCTTTGTACAAACCCACAGCACAATAAAAGGTAGACTCGTAGGCGACTTCCTCAAAACCTTTGTAGCACAAAGGCAATCTGTCTTTCTGAGCTTGAGGTTGATAATATAATTATTGGTGCTAGAAAGCTCTCAGGAGAGCTTTACTGTCCTTCCTGACCATGGAGTTCCCTCACCTTGACTTAAGAGATAGTTTAAACCAATTTGGCAGCGGCTGATTGGCTTGTCATAATCCCCTTACTTCAACAATACACTAACGGAGTGTTTTAGGTTTTTGATAGAACAAAATGAAACCCTTCTTTTTCATCAGTCTGTATCATATTTGCACTCTGCTTCCTTCGGCACAAATTAAAACAATCTATTTGTGCACAACCACCAACTTCCTGGCTGTGATAGCTGAAATTCTGATATGCTAGAACTATTGTCCTCAAGTATTGAGTGGATCTGGCTCAGGAGAGCTAACTAACCATTACCACACATTCAGTGAGGGAATTCCTCCCTGCTTACATCTTGCATTAGAAACACATGATGCAGATCATCTTGATCCTGAGAGACACCACTTTACAGCACCTCTTTCACAGCTTACTCTTCATTCTGAAAAGCTGGGGGAAATTTTATGCTCCATCTTCAACAAATTGGTTCATGTTCTTCTTGACTTTCTGATTTTTAGGTTTCAAAAATAATTTATCAAAAGGGAACCAATGTGGGAGTTGTGTGGGGATATTAATTTACTATCCGTGGAGGGATTTTTCAATCTCTTTCCTCTTTATGCAAATTATCACATAAATTATTTGAATTTGAAGCCCAAATTGAATCTTGTCCACCCTTTTAGCATTGCAGCAGATCTAAATCATAGCCAATCATTGGAATTTATCCCGAACAGCTGCTGAAACTGAGACCAACATAAAGTGTGCAATAGAGCTAGACAGACCTGAGGCAGTATGAATGTCCTGTCCAGTTCCATGCAGTCTGTTGTGGCTGTCCTCACTCAATCTATATATGAATTTGCTGCTATGGGACTTGTTGCAGCCTGTGGTGTTGATCCTGCACCACAGAAACTTTTGCAGTACTTTGTTTTTCCATCTGGCCAAATCAGGTACAAATCTTACATAATGAGCAATTGGAGAGGGCGTTGAATTGGCTTGCACTGGGTGTATTTCAGATTGTTTTCTTTGTTATAATCTCAGCTTGGGCAGGAGTATTTAATTAACAGTGCTGAATTCCAAGTGCTTCGGACCTCCACTGTTAGGGCTGTGGTAGACTCGTCTGTGTAAAAAAATAGACATAACTATTCTGTTTTAAAATGGGACCTATAGAAACAATGTTTTAAAATCAACTGTTCAATAAAGCATATACCATGTCTTTTTTTCCCATCCTCTCTCTTTCCCAACTAATAGAGTTATGCTTCATATAAATATCTTTTAGACTCTTTTGCAACACATTTCTTAAAACTATTTCAAAACATATTCAAATACATTTGTTGCATTTTTTATCTTTCACATTTCTTTAAAAAAACAAAACAAAAAAACAATGTAGTTGGAGTCGATACAGGGTTAATATAGCACTCTTTGTTATGTCCATCAGTTGTTGTTGAAACTTCTTCTATCCAGGTTGTGGCACATAGTGGCATTATTGGCACATTGTTCAGAAATACAGTTCATCTTCCACCCACAGCAACTCCGTGGGTTCCTTTTTCAAATGTCAAATGTTTTTCTTGAGACATCCTTGACGTCCACAGTCTTGTCCCACACATCCTGTAAATATACCTATATATAATCTATATCTAAATGACTGTACGTTCCCGGAAATATGGAGTGGCAGCGTTGTGGCTGCTCTGCTTGTCATCTCTAGAAAAATAAATATCTTCACCAGTGTCCAAAGAGTGATCACACTATTTTACAAAAGAAGCTGTTTTGTGTGTTTCTTGTTTCCAACTGGATCCTGTGGAGATGCGGAGAACAAAATCACAATTACCCCCTCATTATGGGCTCAGCGCAAAATAAAACAGCCACTGTAACACAGGTGGGACTTTCAAAACCAGCCTAATATGCTCTTCTGTTAGGGGAAACTGGTATCCAGCTCTGGCCAGAAAATGTTCCTCCCAGTGCCTTTCTCAAACCACATGGAATGGCAATGCTGCATTAAAAATATGCACCGTTAAGGCCTGCCGGAACATACAATAAAGGCTAGGAAATACATTAAGTTTGCAGTACAATAACAAGGAATATGTTATGTCTTTTAAGACTGCAGCATTGGGAGCACGCTGCGTAGAGCTGAGCTGACTGAGACTAATGTGTGTCCAGACAACGGCGAGGCGCTGTCCTCTCACTACGCTACCTGCAGGCAATCTATTCCTTTTAAAATCTGGGTCAATAACAGACGTTACACCTCCCCCCGGGCTGCCAGCAATACTGTGGGGCCAGAGCATGTGTTTAACTTTCACGCTTTGAATTTCAAATGCAGGCTATTCTGGCATATATTAGCCATGCATAAAAATATGTCACAAGTCAAGTGAAAGTGCTTCTTCACTCCTAGAGATGTTCAAAACAATATGCTATTGGTGTAAGAATGCGAGTGGTGACATAAATATTAATGAAAATCTTCAGATATGAATAGTGAAGTTATTAATTGTGAGCATATAGCCTATTAATACTGATATACATAATTAGTCTTTTATCTCAACTACTAAGACCTCTCAATACTGCACTGAAATGGATTTCTCAACCTTTTTTCATCCCTGGGCAGAAGCTGGAAAGGAGCATAATCATGTCACAAATAACAAACATATGCCAAGTTCCCTTCTATTCCCAAAGTGGGGCAGCGTCACCACAGGGATCGAGGTGGCTAAGGCTCAGACGATGATTTGCAAGGGGACAAAGTGGCACAGTACCCACCAGAGCGTGAATTCAGGAAGTCTTTTCCACCCACAGGAAGTGAACAAGGCCTTCAGCTCGTCAACACGAGATCTCGAACCATTTCTCTGACACAAAGGCCACAGGGATCAGTTGTCTTTCAGTGGGGGAGGGCCTGTAGAATAAAGTGCAAGAGGTGAGAACATTAAGTAGACTCGTATTGGTGGATATGATGCAGTTTGCTTGATTAAATATTTGAAGTGTCATTTAGGTACGTTGATAATTTTCCTCTGAATATTTTTTTACTTCATACATCCTCTAAGGCCCACTGTAATAATCTCCCTAGTTAACCTCTAGCGCCACTGTCAACATTGTAGAATTGATCACAAACACATTCTTATCACAGATTAATCAGCAATGTTGTTGTTAAACATCAGTAAAAACGTATCTACCCTTCCATGACTTTAAATAAATAAAGCTAGGCATTATTTGCACCAGATGAATGATCCTACCCTCACTGCCAGCATAATGAATCTGTTACAGGGCTTGGACACAGAGTAAGTGTGACCATCTTTGCTGGCCCTGCAGCTCAGATGACTGTTACTGTTGTCCACTAAAACAGTAAACACTGTCAAAACTCTACCGAGCTTATTGTCAACACTACATAAAAATTATTGTTTGAGGTATAATACCACAATAGGCCAGATTTCTGTGTCAAACACACCTGCCTTGTCAGCTTGTATCACAAAGAAAGACCCGCAGAGAGTAACGATTTCAACTCAGAGTGAAATGCAAACACACCAATGACTCACCAATGTTACATCTCTTGCCTGTCTTTTGGTATAAAGCAGCACAGATTAGCTGGGTGGGTAAACATGGATGTGTTGTGTGCAATTTTTTGATATCACATTACAGGACTTCTGGTTATTGAAGTTCAGTTTTCAAATATATATATATATATTTGTCTACCATTTAAACCACTGCCAGAAAGATCAGTTGAACAGAAAATGGCACTGTAAAGACTTCACATCCCATTGCCCTACATCTATAAATTGACTCATTACACAACAGCAAAAATCAGTGGTAGATTTAGGTTTTCGTGTGCAGCTCGAGCGTGCTGAGGCCCACACCGCTCAGCCAGGTGTCAGGCAGATGGACGAGGAATGAGGCAATGGACAACAGCATTAAAGGCAAACATTTTATGTGCTGATTTGCTCTGACGGGAGCCGATTGCGGTTCAGAATAACAACACACATGTAAGAGAAGAGTGTGAGGAAAAAGTATTTCATGAGGAAAAAGTATTCATCAGGATTGTTATTTCAATGTACTCTTTCTCATCTATTTACATTAGTCATCTTTTTGAATGCTTTGTAATTTAATGTGGAAGTTGTTAGAACATTTATCCCCACATAAAACCATTATTATAAAGAAATAGACATTGATTTCTTGACCCAATTTTTTTTAGGCTATTAGACACTAATAACATTAGTGATAATAACTGTAGTGGACAGAGACATCTGTTTGGAAAAGTCTTTATGCTTTATGACTTCCAGTGCTGGCTGACTGAAGAAATGTTCCAGTGTGCATCCACCTTTGTGCTATAAACAGTCCAGGGCCAGCGTACCTGTTTCCGTTGTAAGCAGTCTTGTAGACAGGCGTCTGCTGGATCATCTCATCAGTGTAGATGGGCACGGCAGTCCGAACGCACTCATGTGAGCACTGCAGGCTGTCATTGTAGGCAGTGAATATGTCCACCTTGCTGGGCACCCGGGCTGGGGTGAAGTCTGTCAGGTTTTGGCAGCTTTCTTCCTGCTGGTGGATCTTGCGCTGATGGCTATTGTGGCGGCCATTTCCCGACTGCGCACAGCTACAAAAACACGCACCAAAGACAAGAAACAAACATAAAATCATACCTTGTACCTTTGGTCATCTACATAGATTTAAAGAGAAAAAAAAGTGTGTGGTTCTGTAGTTGATGTATTTATAGTGTAAACAGTAAAGGAATCTTTCCTACCAGTTTTTAAGGACGAGTGTTGTGATCAAGGCTGCGATAACCATAATGAGAGACACAGTGATTGTGATTATCTGGTGAACTGCCAAACCTGCAAAAAGACAAATAAACAAAATAGCAGAGATTTACATTATTTGTGGAGGAAATGTTTTTGCTCTTGTTGTTCACAGCAGATTGCCACTTCACTTTTGTTTTGTGCACTGTACAAACCCACTGCACTCTACAAAGTATTGAGGGCAGCTCACTTAAAAAGTAGAGGATGACAACCCAGAACAATTTTGCTCTTCAGTAAGTATTGATGACAGTGCCATCCACTGCTATTCATAATTTAGCGGTCATATAAATTATTCCATTATAGTACAGCTGACTGTAATGGATAACCAAGTCCAAATCGTCTGTAAGTACGGCTTATTATTCTTATGTCAAATAAAATAAGAAAAATAAGAAAATAAACTCACATTCACACGTTTAGTTATTGTTTGACTGTATTATGCATATATATATACTAAGTCTTAACTCCGAGTAAGTAAGACTTTCCAAGTTTTCTTCCAAACCAAATAAATCCCCAAACAGCACATTAAGAGCTGGTGTGCCTTTTATAACCTGTTCTCCCCTGAAAGTATCTCTGTAGTTTTTGCCCCAAGGCCTTTATTTAAACATTAAGGGAGAGCAAATTACTTGATATGGTACATCAAATAAAATATCTGATCAAAAGAAGATCCTGATAGGTAGTCTGAACGCTTTGAAAAGGGAGACATGGTAATGCAGTGTAGAGAAATGAGGATACACACATACATAACATTAAAGCTGGTTTGATAAAGTAATAAATTAGGTGTTCATGCTATTTTTAAGAGCTCCAAAGAGAGAAATCAGACGCTGTTATAGTTAATTAAATTTAAAACAGTTTTAAAACCAAAATAAAAGTGATTTTTGTGAATGATCAGCTAATGAAAGGGCTGAAATTAGACACAGGCAACAAGACAATCAGAACAATATGAAATTGAATACATTTATGTGAATTAAACTCATTGTGATCAACTTAAAGTACAAAATTGTGGATAAGAAAATTGGTGCCCAGCACTGCAAGCATAACCCACAACTACACCATTCACAGCATTCACCTGATACCTCGTACCCTAATATTTTAAAGACACATAATTCAAAAATTGTGTTGTGACAGTTCTTAGGACCATTTCCTCAATTTTGAAATGCCTTGTAGACTGCAACCAGACTTGAAATAGACATGAAATTTCTCCACTAGCACTGTGTGCCCAACACAATGTTGGATTTAAGATACTACACATCTTCGCTTCAAAATGGTTAAGTTTAAGTTGAAATTGTAAACAAAACCCAAAAGATAACAATTGTACACTAACAATACAAAAATCAATTGAACTGTTTATGATATGACACCCAAAGAAGAGCCACGTGATGTAATCTGTCCTATCATCATAGCCATCTAGTTGGCTACATCAACATATTTGGTTGTCCAAGTAGTGCAGATCCTCCAGTCAATGAGGTTATGTGAATTTTGGAAACAGAAGTAGGAGGACATTAAATACAGCGATCTCTGCGATTAGCCTGAAAAGCAGATTAAGGCCACTTTAGATCACAATATCTATCTACAATCATCAGATTGCCCACACCTATGTTTTAGTCGAATGCCTATTTAAACATCCAGCAACAGAGAAACATTAACATTTAGTTGGAGTAGTGTCTCTGGTCACCTGTGGAGATTGGACTGAAGGTAATGTAATGTTTTGGTCTCCGCCTCCTCCTGAAAAAAGATATCTGGATATCTTAAGCTGATACATGCTGCAATATTTTCACCCGCTAATCACTAATTTTGTCTGTGTTCTGTTCTGTGCTGGGCAAGTAGCGTGCAGTGGTTTCATTAGAGCTTTTTGGCTGAAAAAAGCTGCTGCATCTGGAAACAAAGTTGATAATGGTGGAGTTTGTGGTCCATGAAGCTGAGGGGAACTGCAAAGGTGGTAATAATTATCTGCATTTGTCCCTACGTGTAACCCACAAGTCATTTAATCTAGTGTAAATATAACAATATTGAATAGTGCTGCTTTAAAGAGCTATAGATGCCCTTCTACACTGAACGATGGCTAATTGATTTAAATATTTCTATATTAATGTGATGCTAGTATCTAAAGCACAGATAATGTGACAATAGGAAGTAGTAACCACAACCAGGTCCACAGGTCACAAGCTTTCTTCTCTTCAAGCGCATACAAACCAACTGTTACATTATATGATGAACTGTGCTGTTTAAGATCTACTTGCACTTGTCTGCCCCCCATTATAGAAAATCATTATTGGGAAAAATTAAAACCTTCCATCAAAAGGACAGCAGGGACACTGGTTGATGACAACTTGTACAGACTGGATCCCCTGTAATCAACGCTGCATGGTCAATAGAGGATAAACTCTTGTATGAGTTGATGAATTTCACTGATGTTGTCTGATTCAAGAATGGTTATAAACCCACTGACCGCTGTGCAATCATGAGACAAACCAAAGCAATGAAAACCTCATAATCATAACTCCACACATTTTTGTGACAACTTCCAGGTATCTGGTTTATAGCCCTGTTTTCCTAAGCTGTCTGGACGGTGCAAAGCCATAAAATTATGACTACTTTTTAAATTAGGAAATCTGCAGCCTTGTGCAACAGACCAAAGTTTCTCTGCTTGCTCCCTTTGTTCTGTACCACTGATGTACAAAAGCATTGTTCTTATTTAAGACTGATTTAGACTCCTGTGTGTGCTGATCTCTCACTTTTGCCAGAGGACAGTAATCCACAAACAAAATACATGTCTAAAGTAAGGATTAGTGTGAGCCTATTCAACTGCACTGTATGGTTAGTGTGTTGTGTATGTGTGTGGGTGAGTGATAGAGCATAAGAGCGACTAGGACACAATGACACACAGCAGCAGGTGACATGCTGCGGGGGGGGGGGACTAGAAAGAAAAGCCGTCATGATGAAAATGCCCACGTGGGCCTTATACATCTCACCTCTCGATCAGCCAGCTGCCTAGCAGCTGATCCAAGCCAATTTGTCTTTGGACGGCTCAAAAGGAAGTGCTGCTCGGTCATTCTGGAAAAGCACAAGGCCTCTCCTCTGCCTACCGGCTGCCTGGACAGTCTCCTCTTGGATAATAAACTTCTGTGGGCAGGGCCGTGCAAAAGGGAGGCCCGTGCAAAAAGGCAGGCCAGGTCAACCTTGGATTAATGATATCTCAGGCTGGCTCAGGGAAGCCTTACCTTCCCAGTGCAATCAGAGCCCCTTGCCACAGCAAAGGCACATTAACTTATCTGGTCATTTGCATTTCTCTCATATCCCGTCTCCACCCTCCCTCCTCTTTCACTCTTCCTGTCTCCGGCTGACGCCAAGGCTGTTAAGTTGAAAGCGTTCAGTTATAAATTCACATCTGTCCAAGTTCAGGCATAATGGAGCTTGCCCCTGACCTTGATCAATAGCTGAGGTCTCTACTGAGAATTGTTTCATTTTACATTGATGTCACAGTGAAAGGGGACCCTTCCCAGTCAGAAGATTTCAAATTAAAATCTGCAGTTAGCAAATTTGTCCTGTATAACCACAACTGATTAAATCACATTGTGGCAACACAATAAGTTGTGTTTTGTACCTACTTCTAATAGACTCTACTCTGTAGTGGACAACAATGACACTTCTGGTAAAATAAAGCACATGCAACCATCGATTGATGAATGTGATGTCAGTAGATACAACACAGCCTGTGACTTTACACCAGAGGAATCCAATTGACTGAGTTGGTAAACATGAGGATGCTGTATGTAGTTTACTGATGCTATGTTACATGTTTTCAGGGTATTTAAGTCCAAATAGCTGATTAAGAGTTGCTTCATGGTGCTACTTGGAGCCAAAAATAGGCATACTTTCCTAGTACAGCTCTTTAATGAAACAAATGAGCCCAAGAACATGAGGTCCAGCAACACAAACACCAACATTAAGTCTATTATAACCTAATTTTCAGGGCTGTCCGTTTAAGGGTGCAGGGATAATAGAGCAGATAATGACATGGGTGACAAATGTGAGTGCAGAGGCCAGTTCTATTTTCATCCAGAACTGCCAGTTAGAGGGAGGGAAATTTGGCCTGGCTATCTAAAACTCATTGTGTCCTGGCAGTGAGGTTGAAAAATCACCTTTGGCAGTCACCTTGCTTTAGAGATACCCAGTTAGGTTTTGTTTGGTCAGATCACTGCCAAACAAAGAGAGGCTGAGAGGGAGATAGACAGAGAGAGAAAGAGACAGAAAACAGGAAGGGACAGAAAGGGATACAGAGAACGGAGGACAGCTAGCTTGTGACCTCTGGATTTGAGCTCCCTTCAGTGCTCCCAGCAAGAAATAAATGAGATTTTGGGCCTTCTTTACCGTGACAGTTTGATGAAGATGTCAAAGAATAGCATGGTGGTTAAATGAAATCTCTCCTTGCTACCTCCTTTTAATAAAAGACCTCCAGCTTAGAAGCAAAAACACAGTACAGGGTCAATAAATGCGTGTCGGGTAATGCCTGGTTTGTAGCACCTTCGAAAACTCCTCGGTATGGTTTCTACACATCGCATTATCTCTGTTTTCAGGCTGACTGCATTACAGATATTTGTTATTGATCTTCATTAGTGCAACATTTTCTTCAGTTAAAATATCTAAATGGCCAACAAACAAAAAGGTCAAGACGACAGCCAAGTCTGCAAACTGACTTGTAGAACGCTATACATTTAAAATACCTGTTACCACAACAACAGCAGAATATAGCCATGGACCAAATGACTATGTGCAATGTGAGAGGTGTCTCTCATGGTGACAAACCCAGAGACTTATAACTTGACTCTGCTGTTCCCACAGAGCAATTCAGCTAATTGTTTTAGTCTTTAAACCATCAACCTTACTGTACCTATGCAACCTTGTTTCCAGACACAGTGGGTGAAAAAGCTTTGATAAACCCACTGTACACTACCTGGTGAGCACAAAAGGGCAGACAAACACAAAGCTAGTGACTAGCTGGTGACCATAGTGGAGCATTTAGCAGCTGAAGAAACAGG